GATAGAAATTCCTAAGGATTCAATAACTAGGTTCTTGTTAACCTGAAAAGCGATACTCTCTGGAGCTCACACTTCAGGAACTAGGGTAAAAGAAAGAGAAATTGTTATCATTTCCCAGGAAAGGGCAGAGCTAAGTTTGCTCGGGTACTTTTATGATATGGGGAATAAAATACATTCTCCTCCAGGATTTCTCCTATGAATCATGACACTCCCTGGCTTCCCCCTGCTCACTTCTGTGTGCCGCCCTGAAAGGTTTGTCCTAAGCACTGGAAATGCAAAGGGATGAAGCAAGTTCTTTTGAAGTTGTTGAAGCCTGCGGCAATTAGAAGGGAAAATCGAGTTTGCTTAGAGGCTTTCTGCTAACTCTGAGCCCTGAACACATAGACTTTATAGAAGTACAAAATTCCCTTTGCAGCCATGGGGCATTAGGATGGAGGCCAGATCTCCAAGGAAAAGAGACTAGTATTTCTTTTGCTGGGGGATACCTGCTTGTCCTCCACATGTTAAAAGATTCCTAGAAACTGTAGGTTTTGCTTTGATGCCAGATTGGAGCAGGGGCTCCCTGAGGTCCTCAGACGGTGCTAGCAGCTTCTGCAAGCTTCATGATTGTACCTTTGCTAATGTACCTGCTGTCATTCTGGACAAAGGGCTTAAGAATCAGAGCACTGGGCAGAGCCAGAACTCCAAGGCCATTTTAGGCCTTAATAGGCCCAGGGGACTGTTCAGGCATCCAAGCATGGGGCACTCCTTCCTTCCATCCCCTTGGCCAGGATCTCAGCCTCCTCTGCAACCCCCCAAAGTAGGGCCAACCACAGAGAGCTCAGCTGACTTCCAAGGAAAAATGTGAACGAAGGCATTTTCATCAGGGGGCAAAATAAGGGAAAGGAAGCAGGCTGCTGGCTGCACACAGATAGGCTGACCCTGTGTAATCCCCTCAGGCACCCCAGCGCAGGATTCTCCCAGAGCTGCTATCCAGGGACCTGCCAGAGCGGGGTCAGCCTGGTGAGGCTGCCCGCTGTTCCCCATCCCCGCTCTGCTTCATTTGCAATCACCTTCCTCCCCACCACACACTGCTGGCCCCAACTCCAGGCCACCAGAGTTTGCGGGCAGGCCAAGTTGTCTTAACCTCTAGAAAATGTCTCTTGGCTTTGTCTGTTCTGTGTGTTGAAGAGATGCTCAAAGAGATATGTGCCAGTCCAGATACCCAATGGCTTGGGTTTGCTGGAGAGGCCTCCCACCTGGGCACACTGTGCCCTCACCTTGCCCATCCCAGGACAAAGCACAAACACCCAGACACACCAGTGGGATCAGACACGACTAGGGGCATGGTTGGCAACAAGACGCAGTACTTATCTCCAGGTCCTACTTTTCACTGCCCAGAAACCCGAGATTATTTTCAGCACATGCCCACATTCTCTTCTCCTAACCACTGGCTCTCTACCATTGAATAAGTCTCTCACTGTTTTTTCTCCATTCTTTTCATGCTCCCATTAATTACGCCCTATTTCATTGACCTGTACAGAGGCTCCCAGCTCCCTTTTTACCACCAACTCCTTCCCACCGTTGCTCCCTCCACCATCCTTACTGCAACTTTGCTTCCCTTTTGCTTACCTGCAACCTCAGACCTTCCCACAAAGTCCCAGAGAGCCCTTGACTTGGAGCCTCTCTTAGTTCGGATGCCCCACCCTCAATAGGTCCTGCAGGTGGAGGGAAGCCTCCATTGCACACTGTGAATAAAGGCAGCCCCTTCTGCTGGATCCCGCCCTCCTACCAGACCTCTGGGCTGGGACTGCAGCCACCAATGCTAGCGCGGCTGTTCCTGCCATTTTCCCAGGAGGAAGTAGGAGTAGCATGCTCCCGAAGACTTCGGTTAAAACTAGGTGACTTTTCCCCAGAACCACCCTTTTGCCATCCGGTTTCATGGTACCATGAGCTACCTCTGTTTGGTCAAATAAGCTTCACTGGCCTGGAAACCTAACCATGGAGTTAATGTTATTTCCATGAAAAAAGGCTGCCAGGTCCCAAACAAACACACCACACCAAGCTCTTAAGGGTACATTTGTAAAGCTGGGCCTGTAGACTTCACTGCTGTGATGGCTCATGCCCAGGACCTCCGACTGTCCTCAGTGCTCCCATGGCCATGGCTCCCACACTGCAGCACCTGCTCTCTATGCGCTTCCTGGTTCACTGCAGCAAGAGGAAGTTCACAGGAAGTGGGCAGCCCTCAGGGCAGGAAGCCAGGACCCACAAGGGGAAGTGTGGAGAGTCTCCCAGCTGCCTCTCAGATGCCACCTCCTCCTAAAACTGTACCCCAGGGGAGTCACTGGGGATAAAACAGAGAGCGGAAGGGCCATCTGTGCTTCTGTTCCATAAATCTACAGGCCATGTGTTGCAGTTCCCACTTGGGTCCCTCGCTGGTGACTTGCAGATGTGCTGGGGACAGAAGGGGCTGTAACTAGTGCAAAAATGTCACCGGGGTCTTAGAATGGGGGTGGTTCCAGGCCCTCACATTACACACATTACAGGTGGTGTGCCAGGGAGTGAGCTCTTCAGCAGCCTGAGTGCACAGGGACTCTGGAGCAACAATGACTGGTCACGAGTGATAAACAGATCATGGTTAAGTGTGGGCTCGGAACCTGCCTGCTGGGCTTGAAGTTTACTCTGCCAGTCCCTGAGCAGGAGTTTCCTCACCTGTGAAATGGCATCATCGCTGTACCTATCTCCACGGGTCCTTGTGACCTAACCTTGTCAAGTGCATCGTCAGTGCCTGACACTAAGTATGCTCTCGGTAACAGTAAATGTTAATGGTTTCTTCATTTTTACCCTGAAAGTCATTCAGAACCAATACTTGTCTTAGACACTGACTGACTCTATGATATGGCCGAGCAAGGGTTGTCACCAAATTAATTCCCTGTTTTTGTAGGAGTGTCTCACACTGTTCAGAGTGAGTTTTTAAATACATTTACCACCAGGGGAGGCAGGGCAGGACAAGTCTGTGACTTCAGCTTCAACAAAGACGACTTAAGATCAGAAAGGGTAGGTGGGTCCCACAAGTCCCCAGCTAGTGTTTGGTAGACACTGAACAAGTCTTCCAAATCCTCTTTTCCACACCACCCTTATGCCCCAACACAAGACTACAGATTTCCTTCCTTCTCATTACAACTGAGTCCAAAAACACCAAATCTCAGCTGTCCAAATATTGTTCAGCCCTTGGCTTTTGGATAGAAGTGATTTGGTTCGACCTTGTCCCAAGTAAGTGGAAGTAGCACCAATAAGACCGGCCTCCAGCACAGGAGTGAGAGGCTTAGAGTCCCTGATGTTGGGGGACTCTCTGCTGCTGGAGCAACACGGCACCCAGCATTTTATTTTATTTTTTTAACATTTTTTTATTGATTATGCCATTACATTTGTTCTATTCCCCCCTCCTTTCCCCTCCACCCTGCACATCCCTCTCCCACCATCCCCCCCCTTTAGTTCATGACCACGTGTCTCAAGTTCTTTAGATTCTGTATTTCCCCTACTATTCTTACCCTCCCCCCTATCTATTTTCTACCTACTGTCTGGAACCCAGCATTTTAATTCTTCCTTCCATTCAAGGGTGCTAGACAGCACCTGAGATGTCACCAGCACCTTTTTTTTTTTTTTAGGGAAAGGGCAAAGTGCATATTTTTTTACCAGTAGGTGGCAACAGAGTTAAAAGGCTACAGCAGCAGAATGATAAACATATAAATCATAAACATTTTGAATGCGGCGATCCTCTCACCCAGTCTGCTAATGTTATTCACAAAGGCATTGAGGTTCCCAGAGGGCATGTGACTTGTTTAAGGTCACATGACTGGTTAACGGCGGAGCTAAACTACACTCAGCTCTCGCTGATGAACCAGAATGTGCAATGGCACAGAGTGACTTTTCAAAGAGCTTGGTATCTTAGTTGTGTGGAAAAAAATCACTTTTTTTGAGTTAATAATTCTAGCATGAAGTAACGCTGATGGTCTTTAAGAAATTGCACAGTTGATTGTGCCTCTGCTTTCGGCTTTCTGAGCTAGAGGTGGGTGAGGGGGTGAGGGGGTGAGGGAGGCAGAAAGGAGAGAGGGAAAGAAACTGCTGTTTTGGTGCCCTTTCGAGACTTCCTAACACATCTGTGCTGCCTTAGAGCCCCTCCCAGCTGTGATTTCCCCAAACAGGTCAGGGGCTGTCGGGTCCCTGAAGAATCTCCCCTTCCTGAGCACCCTTCCTACTTTATGAGCACCGGTGTGTGTGTGTGTGTGCGTGTGCATGTGTGTGTGGAGGGAGATGGGGAGCATGCAACATTTCACTGCAGATAGAATGCCAGGTGCCACTTCACTTTATTCTGCAGAGGCACACAGCGCACAGTGAGAAGCAGGGCCTTAGGAAATGAGTGCCTGGTCCCTGATGGGGCCACATTTCCACTGTATAATTTCATGGAAGAGAACACAAACAGGTGGGTGGGTGAGACAAATGTACCTAGGATGATGTGGGGTACACAGTGTGCTTAATTAGCATGGAGGGATGGATGAATGGATAAAGGTTTCAGATAGATACAATGAAAAAATGTTCTCAAAGTCTCAATACTCCAAAAAAGAATGCACTACTCTGGTTGTATGTATAATGAGTTCCCTGTCTCTGGAGGTATTCAAGCACTAGCCATCCACTTATTTGGTAAGAATGTTGTAGAAGCATGGTTAGGATTGGATGACCTTTTAGTTCCCCTTGAATCCCAGGATTCTCATTATTCCACGATTCTTGATGCACAGTGAAAGAAAGAACAGGGAAAAGATGTTTTTGTCTTTGGCTTCAAGACCTTTACATGAGAAAATCCCATGCATCCCAGGGTGCTTCACCCAAGAGGCTGGCCCCATGCCCCTTCACCAAACTCTATGCCATGACTGGAAACTGTGACCATCCTGGGAGTTCACTTGAGGGATTCTACTGATTTCATTTAAATAACAAGTTTGTTTCTTTTTTATTTTGAAAATCAGGGGATGCGGACTTGTGGAAACGCGGACTGGTGCTTTTGGATGCAGGTAATGGTACAGCCCAACCACCTCACCATGACTAGACTGAGGTGTGCAGGGCTAGAATAGGGAGTCTAACAACAGTGGGGGGCCCAGAGGCAGTTTCCACCTCCCAGACTGGGGCCTGACGGCCACACAGGGGGCATGTTGGGACACCCACAAGGAGGCCTGGGGTAAAGGGACAACAATGGATAACAAAGGAAAAGCAAACTGTAAAGACCACATGCCAGAAGGGAGTGAGTCACCTGCTCCCAAAGTGGATTTAGATCCTCGCTCCATCTGTAAAAGCTTTGCCTTCCTTCTATTCCCCTTTATTTATTTATTTATTTTTTTGCAATGGGTATTCAGGTTTTCCCTTCCCCTGAATGAATGCTGTTCACCATTTACTGCGTGAAGTGCTGGAAACTCCAATAAACACAGCCCTCCAGCTCTTGGTACAAGGGCAGATTTCACTGACGGGTGGGAAACAGAGGTGGAGCAGGGGACTCAGGCTTTGGACTCACATTTCTTCCCCTGCCTCCCACGTGAAGCCCTGGGCAGTTCCTCTGAGAGGCTGCTGGCTGAGAAATGCCAGTAGACACCCAAAGTGCATTTTTCAAATGATGTGAGGAAGTGGGATGAGCAAGCTGACCTTTAATAGGAAGATGAAATCATGTGCTTTGCAAATTGGAAAAACCAACAAGCCAGGAGAAAATTCACTGCAGCCAAGAGTGAGCAGAACCCCCAGCTCCTTCCTTCACTGCTGGAAACTGGGGGGGGGGGGGGGGGGGGTTGGGGGCAGGGGTTGAGCATCCTGAAAACAGGGAGACTCCCTTCAGGTGTGTTACTCTGCCTGTGAAGCTCATTGGCCTTACCAAGCCTAAAAGTGTTCTTATGTATTGTCTTTTAAGTCCTTAAACAATATATGTGTGATCTTGGCTCCCATATAAACAGCTTCCAAAAGAAAAAAAATCCCTGAGGCTGAAATGCAGCTCACACACACAGCTTCTCAAAGCACAAAATGCTTTTGCATCTTTACTTCGAATCTCAGAGGGGTTGCATTTGAGACCCTCTTGCTTATTTGATTTACTTGTATCTCCTCTGTTCCCCTCCAGTTTACACCCAACCTCATTAGATGGTCCTCCCTGTGTCTCACTCCTCTTTGTTTATTGACTCAGCCACCAAATGTTGGCTGAGGACCTACATGTGATGGGCACAGTGAAGGTTTATATGATGAGTGAGGCACATGCCCTGACCTCAAGACAGAGGGATAAATTATACTGGCAAAGCACTTAACGTTTCAGATAAGAAAATGAAACCTCAAACAGAATAAGTTAACAGGCATTAGGAAACAGGACTCAAGTCTTTTGACTTCAAGTCCCTGTGAGCACCAGCAGAGCACTGTGTCTTTAGTAGACTGCTAGTAAATAGTAATTTATTATTATCTCTTAAGATGGGGATAGCATTGAGAAGAGAACTGTTACCAATAAGCCAAGTCCCCCTGAGCTGGTGTGAATATCCACTATGCTCCATCCCCTGGGTAAGGCCAGATGCTTCCTGTTCTTTCCAGTCACCAAAAGTTTTACTTCCTTCTCCAGGGTTTGTTCCAAAGGAAGAATTAAGCACACAGTCATTGGACCCCATGTTCCGGGGAGATCCAAGTAAGTTAATTAACAGCGAGAAACCCAGAGTGGCTCTGATGTTTGATCTGCTCTCTCCTCTCTACCCACTCACTCCACCCAAACCCTAACCCTCCTACTGTGAATCCAGTATCTCCTCCCTTCTGTCTCTGTTCTAAGGGGAAAGGGAAATTCTGAAGGATTGACACTCTCTATGTGCATGTGGGAGGGAGGATCAGATGTTTAAAATATCACTATGGCAACAGCATAGATGGAATGGGGAGACCAGGGTAGATGAAGAGAGAAGACTTGCTGGCCAGCAGGGACGATGGTCTGATGGAGACAACAGTAGACAGAGCTCAGAATCAAAGAGATACAGGCAGACTCAATGGTTACAAAGAAGGCAGCATCTAGAGGGTTAGAAGAGGAGGTACAAGAGAGGGAGCAGTTAAAGGTGAGTTGAGCAACTGAGGTCGAGAGTACTGCCATGAGGACTACTGAGAACAGAGCAGGTGGGGGCAAGATCGCTTATGTCATCATCTGCAAGACTTTCAGGTTAGTAGAGAGTTCACTACCCAGACATGACATTAGAAGGACCAGCCCAGCCAGAAATTTAGAATTGGAAGATGAGCTATGGTTCAAAACCAAGGCTATGAGAACAGAAAATGGGACCTGGAGAGATGAGAAGAAGAAACAGAGGACTTAAACCTGAAGAACTTTAATGCTAAACAGGTGGAAGAGAAGCCACCTGAGGACACAAGAAAGGAGGGACCAAAAAAAAGGAGGAAAACCAGGAGGGAGTTGGGTGTGCAAGCCAAAAAGAGCCTCTGCAAATTCCCCCAGAAATTCACTACCCTTCAGCCACCATTGGGCTATGACAACCTCTCTGCATATGAGAATCACCTGAAGACATTTTTAAAAATTAAAGACGCCCAACTGCTGCCTCATACCTACTGAATCTGACTCTATCTAGATCTTGCTATTATTCAAAGTGTGGTCTGGGGACCAGAAGTATCGCCATTACCTGGGAGCTCGTTAGCAATGCAGAATACTGGACTCCACTCCATACTTGATGAATCAAGTAGTGCCTTTGCTCACTAACCCTTAAGAAGCACAGCCCAGAGTGATTTTCAGACGTTTTTATTTGTTGATGCTGCATAAGCAACTGATATTTATCAAGGGTTAAGAAATGCTGGCCTGATGTATTTATATGGTAAACACAAAGCATTAATCTACAAATTGTACTTTGTTGGAGAAAACCAAAGCAATTAAGAAAATTGGTAGACTGATTCCTGTAGACAATATATCTTACCTTTTCTTCCTAGTCCTTCAATGCCTACCATAACAAATCACTGACGCTAAACATTTTATAACCCAATCTACCCTTTGGCACTGACATCATCTCAATATGAGAAAGCCACTAGGTCTCAGTGAGGAGATAGAACCACTGTCATTAGAACATTCTGGGAAAGGGGGAGCAAAGGTGACCCCAATATCAGTCATCAGGCCAGTGAGTGAAGAGAACTAAGCAAATAGGAAAACACCTTGCTTTTTAAAAACCTGGTTACAAAAAGAACATGTCCATCCTGAACACAGTCCAAGACGTAAGAAATAAGGAGAAAAAATGGTCTATGAAGAACCAAAACGGAGGCTAAAAAATCCATGTATTCCACTTCATGCATTTAAAAAGAAAATCCCCTTTGGCCCTTACTCTAATGAATAGTTATTAAAAAACAGTGTTCATTTTGAAAGGCATATTGAACTACTCAGCTGACATCTGGAAGGCAAACCCTCTGCAGGAGTGCTTCTCCAACTTTAATGTGCACGTGAATCACCTGGAGATCTTGTTCAGATGCAGGTCCAACTCTATAATCTGGGTAGAACCTGGGAGTCACATTTCCAGCAAACCCTAGGGGGCCAGTGGGCAGCAAACCCTAAAGAACACCACTGCCACCTACCGGCAATAATTTGCATCGCAAGCCCAGACCTGGGAAAGGAGGAGCAATCCGTTTGGCGTACACTGGACAAGCCATAAACAGTTCTACTTCTCTTTTGCTTTATCCCAGGCTTTAGTGGCATCTTTAAACTCGACTTCCTGATTTGTTTCTTCCAATCCTCATCTCAAGGATCATGCTTAGGCATAGGCAGTTTGGGGGCAGCAAGGACAGGGGAAGCCAGCTTAACAGGAAGAGTCAGCAGGCACTGTCCGTGCAGAAAGGAAGTAGAAACTCACAAGATCTGCTGACAAGCCGAGTCACCAACTCCAGATGGAGCGAAACCAGCCCACAGAGGTCCCCATCACAGCCCACTTCTCTCATTTAGATTGCCATGAACCACTGCAAAAAAAAATAAAGCACATTCTCACATATAACTCTTCCTCTTAACCTGCCAATTCTGTAATAGCACCCTTTACTAAATATTTCTCATCAATTTTGCTTAAAACTGTGTAAATTCATGTCCATTTCTCACTTTCATTAAAAAAAAGAAAGATGGACTGTGGGAGCAGGGATGGGCGGGAGTGGAGGAGGGCAAAGAAGGAAAAATTGGGACACCCGTAATAGAATAAACAAGAATAAAAGAAAAAAGAAAGAAAAAACTCGCTGCCTACGGGGCTTCTCCTCCAGTCACATGGAACCAACGCAACATACAGTGGAAGGACCAGATGCCCAGAGCAGCCTCACGAGCTACTGTGCAGCTCCTTAAAGGGACCTGGGCTCATCTGGACACAGCACCGCCGACACACCCACAATACTCCAGCCCAGAAGTCCCTAACTTCACTGTCTCTCTTTTTCTTCTCCATCGAACTTGGTTTTGAAATATTTTGTCTCCCAAATTGCAGTTGTCAAATAATTCATTTATCATTTCTTATTAACCATAGGGCTAGATACCTCCCAATAAGAATTTTTGATCAGCACTGAAAAATCAGTTTCATTATCCTGAAATGACATCACTTCAGCCAAGAGCAAAGAAGACACTCACTTCTACCAGTTGTAAGCGGCTGTCCACAATCTCCTATAAGCATTGGAAAGATTGAAGTAGCTCACAGCCCCACCATCCTCTTCTCCTCCATCCTAACCTTCATATATTCGCAGAGGTCCAGAGGTACTGACTATAACTTTCCTAGTCATTATCACAACTAAAAGAAAGGAGAAAAATCTACCACAGCTACAAACAAGAACTGACATCTGTAGATATATGTGGGTAATTTCTATGGTTGCCTTGACCAGAGAAGTGAAGGAGAAGATTGGTAACAATTTCTCATCCTATAATTCCTGTCCCTCAGCACTGGCTTTGCAGAATTCTTCACACCTTTATAAAGACCCAATGCATAATTCTAAAAAGTCAGAATAAATGAGAAAGATTACAAGCTCCTGAGAATCAGTCCTAGTGAATTCCCATGTCTGGGGGTCTGCACTTATATGGTCTGAGCCCAGGAAACTTACTGAGGGTCTTCCCAAACTCGACTGGGAGGTCCCTGCTTCCGGAGTCTCAAATTATGGCTGATACAGAGAATTGTAAAGCAGTTACTGGAATAAGTACTGACTCATATATCTAGGACCTTGGTGCCCAGTGAAAATCTGTTATGGATATAAATGAATAAATATACTCTGCATCTTGCTACTTCTTTTACTTTCTTTTCTTTGGATCTCAGGGAGCTCTGTTGGAGAAAGGGGAGTGAGAGAATGCACAGGTAAATGCAGAGAGAAAATCAGAATAACAGGGCCTCTTTTCCTTCCTCAGACTGCAAGGTTGACTTGTCATTTTTAATTGATGGGAGCGCCAGCATTGGCAAACGTCGCTTCCGAATCCAGAAGCAGTTCCTGGCCGACATCGCCCAGGCTCTTGACATTGGCCCGGCGGGTCCACTGATGGGTGTTGTTCAGTATGGGTAAGTGCTATTCTGAATTCTGAAACCAAGTCAAGTCACATGCTTAATTTTGTGCCCCAAGTAATAGCAACACATCCTACAGCACAGATTCATTCGCTTCCATAATACTAATGTAAATGAAAGAAACCAAAGCAGTTCAGATGCCATCTGAGAGATCTGAGACTTCCAGAAGGAACAGATGAATAAACACTCGTAAGTAAATGGTAGTGGTGCTTGTGATTGGCGTAGGGTTTATGTGGGTGTTAGGAACTCTGGGTTCAAGGCTGAGCTCAGCTGTGCGGCCTTGGGCCAGGCCTTCATCTCTCTCATCACCAGTTTCCTCATCTGTAGAACAAGGTGGATGCCTTTGAACCCTGATTGTTAGAGCATTTGTTGGAGGGACTGCTCCCTGTGCTCCCACAAGTAAGTAAGACGCCTAGACAGCATGGTGCTTTAGGGTGAGCTCTCTCTTTCTCCAGATAACCTTAGGTATTTGCACTGCTGATGGGCAAGCTCCCCAGGCAATGCGGAGACTGGGTGGGAAGGGGAGTAGCCCCCATCACTCAGCTGAGCACCAGGTGTCTGTCCCCAGTCTGTTTTATTATTTTAGTTAGAATAGAAATTGAGGGTTCATTGAGTGACATCCAATCTCAACCTTTTCTTTTATTTGGGATAGCAAGTCAATTTTATTTCTGGCATAAACAAGTTTCTCCCTAAAACAGATATGCAGATATTGACAGATAACAAGCAGACAATGAAAAGGCCAGGCAAATACGAATTGCAAATAATAGGTCAACTTTTAACCAACAGACACTCAGGGCAGGATAATTATCTCCCTTTCCTCAAAGGATTATCGGACACAACATGACCCCTCCCTCCCCATAGATCTGCAGCTTTACCTTGAACTGGAAACTAACCTAGACCTTGGTGCCTCTTGCTCAGAAGCTACAACATAGCTGATTTGCTCCTCCTGAAAAGCAGCAACATTCCTACCTGACAACATCCAGGGGTCTCAAGGCCCTTCAGACCTGTCCTGAGGACTTCCCAGAGCAGCATTGGAACTGAGACTGTTATATTAAAGACACCAGAATCCTTATTTTTGACTTGTCAAAAGAAATAAGCAAAAATGCCTAATTTGCATAATAACTATCACAAGTATTTTTAGAATTCCAATAACCTATTTTGTACCATCTTCTATTCCTATGAAGAAAAATTAGTAGATGAGTTAAGAATCAAATACATGAAAAATAACCAGCTGCTGCAAATGCCAACTCTCAATGTCAAATGCTCTGTTCTGAGGATTTTATATAACTCGAAACAGGAAAATAAGTGGGGTTTTTTTGGTCATTGTTTTCTTGTTTTCAAAATGTCAACCTATTTCATTCCTGTGTCACTTTTCAAAGACAGAGAATGAGCAGCAAGCTTCTCCTGGGAGGAAATGGAAGTGTTTTAGTGCCAGATGTCCCCAGTCAACTTTATTGGGGGTTCAACGCTTGCTGTGTCATCTTGAATTAAAAATAGCTGCTTTCAGAGCTGTATATACCAAGGCTTACAGCATAATATGAAAATAAGGCGGTAAATATGTCAAGGAAAAGAAAAATGGCAGCAGAATAGCATTGTGTGCTGATGAGAAAGAACATGGATGCAAGAACAAATAGGGCAGAGAAGGCAAAATAGTTCAAGACTCTTTCCCCTCAACAAAAATTAAAAAACCACAAAGCCTTTTCCCCACGTTTTCCTAATTGATCACCATTTGCAGCTAGGAGTTTACCTCTGTGCTTTCCAATTCCTCCTTCTAAAAATGTCTTTGCTGTTTGTCTTTTTTCTTTTTTCCCTACCCAAGGGCCTTATTAATTTGGAGCACGGAAGGAAAATGTGTCTGTTTCCACTCCCTCTAGTGCTCATAAAAACTAATCGATCATCTTCACCCTCCCACAGCCACAGGGTGGCATGGGAAGCACAATGCACTGGTGACAGGCGGTCTTGAAATCTGGCCTGAGTCCTGCTGTGTGACCTTAAGCAAGTCACTTAACCTCTCCATGTAAGTGCTGCCATCTGTAAAGTTCCGGGGCAGAGCAGATGATTTATCGGGTCTCTGCCAGCCTTGGCATCCTGTGACTCAGGGGCTGGCTCTGTACTCAGAAGGTATCCAATAAATGAATATATTGGGCCGGCAGACTGGATGAGCCTCTTCTCCCCTCCAGCCTTGGGTTCCCAATAGGTGGGACGATCAATAATAGAATGATGGCAAGTACTGAGGTTATACATCCACCAGTGGGACGTGGGGAACAAAACAGTTTGGCATGCGGCATTAGAAGTGTGTGACAAGGCCAAAGGGTAAATCCATGCACCCAGCAAAAATTGCTTTTGATTGCCGCTGTCTGGTTTGCTTGCCTGGGGATTTCCCCTCTGACCCTTTCTTTACCAAATGGTCTCAGTGCACAGAGAGGAAGGCAGTGGGGCAGGAAAGGAGAAAGAGACAGAGGCAGATGCAAAAAATAGGGCCTGTGTTTCCGGAAAAGGAAAAGCAGGAAGAGCCAGTGCCCGGCACACCGGGAACTGAGTCCTCCCATTGCATTTGGGCTTCTCACTGGATTCCAATGCCCACTCTATGACCCCTGTGCACTGGGGACTTAGAAAGCTCCTGGTGCCACCTGCTCATGTTACAGTGAGAAAATGAGGCTCTAAAAGGCCACCCCCCTCAGGAACAAGTACTGGAAAGAGAGACAGGTTGGGCAAGAGCTGGTCGGGGAGGGAAGCCTCGGTACCTGGCATTTCCCCTCCTCTCAGGCTTCCCGCCTGTAGCTTCTCGTTACACTACTGAGGCCGCTGGTCCTCAAGGCCCCCCAGGAAGGTTCCTTTCCCGTGCTTTTCCTTAGGAAAGCCGAGTCAGGATTTAAATTTTCATGTCTAAATTTAGACTTTTAAATTTAGAATTGAAAATACACTGACTACTAAAGGGGAAAGAAAGGCAAGTAAGAAATAAAAATACAAGAAGTATAAATATGGTCTGATTTACTAAACGCAATATTCATTCCACATTCCCATCCCTAAGTAGCCTACACACCAATCTTTTGGGTGCGAGAAACAGAAAACCAGTCCTGGTAGCCCGGGGGAAGGGAGACTGATGTCACAGGACTGACAGGGCCTTAGTCATTCCCTCCCTCCTTCTTTCCTTGCCTCTCTCTCTCCTGGTCCACTCGGTCCTCCTCTCAGCAGACCGGCGTTGTGCTCTACCAGGCTCTTGGTTCCTGCTCCTTCTTCACTTCCCCTGGCACCCACGGCATTCCACCTCCGGCCCAGGCCAGGGCTGAGCCTCCACCAACGTGATACTAACGTACTTCCTCTGCCACGTGCCCCCTCTTTGCACGTGCAGGGGCTTGTAACCCCCAGTTACGTATACCTCTCAACAACCAAGAGTCCTTTCCACAATCATCACCTGCCTCCTGTGTGAGAAGTTTTCAAACACCTGCTGTGTTTGAAACTGACTCAGAGAGGCTGGGGCAATTTCCCAAGCACACATAGTTAAGTGCGTGACTGCTGGGGAGATGGCAGATAATAAATCTTGGGTTAATCTCTAAAATGTCAAACAAAATGGGCCTCAAAGCAGAGATTTTCTCACCTGCCCAGAAAGCTTCTGATAATGGAAGCTTTCCACCAGACTGAGGACCACAACACTGCACTTGAACAAAAGGCCAAGGATCGAGCCCTTGTTTTGCCCACACAATCTGCTTTAGAATCATGCAGCCAACAGCTCGCGACTGCACTTGATGCCAACAGGAACACTAAGAGGCTAAATGAAAGAACAGGCAGAGCGAGTAGGTCCTAGGTGAACTCGAGCAAACACTGACTGAACAAGACCCAGCAGCCTGCGCTGTAGCTGCAGCCCCGATCCACAGGGTCGATCCACAGGGTCAATACCCCCTAGACCCCCAGTGTGACCTCACGTTAGTCCCCAGGTCGGCATAAATGCACATGTTCTTTGGAACTTTGTCACCTACCCTGGGATATCAACATTAGACAACAATTTAGAACAAAGCAAAATGTTGGTGTTTCTTCATTTAAAAATGAAGTAGATTTTCTTCTTTTTTTTCACTTGTGATTCCGACAGTTTCCCTGTGTTTCAGGGAGTGGGCCTGAGTTGGGCCACATCTCCTTTCTCTCCTCTCAGTCCCAGACTGAACACCCTATGTCATACACTCACCTGAGCCTCCTTTCTTGCCCCCCAAAGCAGGAAGGATGCCCAGAGGCTGTTGTGGATCAGCTGAGCCACCAACTGTGCGACAATCAGAGTGGAGGGAAGAAGTGAAATGTCAGGTCTGGTGTGGGAGGCAGAATAACAGACTCCCTGCCCCCAGCTGGCCACATCCAAATCCCCAGAACCTGTGACGATGCTTGCCACCTCACTTGGCAAAAGAGACTTTGTAGGTATGATTCAAGTTAAGGATTCTGAGATGGGGGGAGACTATCCTGGATTCTCCGGGTGTCCCAATCTAATTATGCAACCACTTAAAAACAGAGAGCCTTTCCCAGTTATCGTCAGTCAGAAAGGGTGTGCCTGTGGGAGAATCATCAGAAATGTGACTTCAGGCTTTGAAGATGGGGAAGGGGCATGAGCAAGAGAATTTTGTAGCTTCTACCATGGCAGGTAGAAGCTACAAAAGACAAGGAAATGGTTCTCCCCAGAGCCTTCACAAAGGAACACAGCCTGGACACCTTTGTTTTAGCTCAGGGAGATCCAGGGTGGACCTCCGACCTTTGGAACTAATAAGTATGTTGTTTAAGCCACTGAGTTTACAATAGACAGCAAGTGCACCTGCAGGGAGGACCATTCTGTCACACTGTGTTAAGCCTGCACCGGGGCATGTGCAAGAGCCTGGGCAAAAACCCAGCAGCAGGAGAGGGGTCAGGACCCTAGGACCACAAAGCAAGGAGGGGCTGCCCACCCTGACTTCACGTTGGTACTTCCCAGGGAGCTTATAAAAGTGCAGAGGCCTGGCCCTCACCCAAACCTATAATAT